AATCTGTTGGCTTTGCTGGAATTGTCTATGATCAATGCCTTTGAACTGGGGCTTTTCCTAATTATAAATTAAATTCAAATAAAGCCAGAATTAACAAAAAGTGATAATAATCTAACCAATTCTTATAACCGTGAAGTGAATTTATTTGTAACCTGCAGACATTAAGCTCTGATTTCCCATTAGTGAACACACTGGTGACTCAGCTCTGTTTTCTACATCAGTGGTTCTCTACCCTGGTTCCACAATGGAGTCAGGAGCTTTTAAAACTCCCTGGGTCCCACCTCCAGAGAATCTGTTTAAATGCTTTGAGTATGCAGTCGGTAGCCATACTCCTAACTATTTCCCATGTAAATATTAAATAATGTGTAGCCTAAAATCTATATCTCTGAGTACATTGTTAAGATACTTTTTAATATTTTTTAATGATGAGCGGAGTTATTTATAACAGTATTCTGAGTGACTGTAAATTACTTGTGTTTCTTATGATACTGTTTTTGTGTGTGTGGCATAGAAACAGTGCTGGCTTATTAACTTCCCTAATTAAAGGAAAATAGTCACCAGCAGATTCATCTCATACACAATGTCAAAAATAACATTTCATCAAAACAAATATATTTAGAGTACAAAGGTTTTTTTTCTGTAGTAATTAATTCTGAAAGAGGTTACTAGTGCTAGTTATTTTCTGATAAGAAAACAAAAACAAGAACAAAAACAGATCCAGAGACAGAGAAGCATGGATCAGACCATCAAACTCAGAGGAAGGTAGGGGAGGGTGGGGGTAAGGGAGAGATCAACCAAAGGACTTGTATGCATGCATATAAGCCTAACCAATGGACACAGACACCAGAGGGGTTAGGGCATGAGTGGGGAGTGGACGTGGAGGGGCAATGGGGGGAGAGGTAGACGACAGGGACACATATGTAATACCTTAATCAATAAAGAAAAAAATTAAAAAAAAACCTTGTCCAGAATCTCCATATAGGTTGTAGAGTTTGTACATCACCTTTCACTAATAATTCTCCCAAATTAATAGTAGTTAATAACCTGTCACTTTAACCATGCAAAGCTGTCTATTCTTATTCTATTCCATGCTTCTTGTTTTTAATAGCTTGCTATCACAAATATTGAAATTTTATCTAACTATTTAATATAATTGGATGCATTATCCCCATGTGCTTTTTCCCCCCAATAGATCTCAATCATTTGACACACTTGATTTATATTTATATTCTCCAGGCATTATACCTCGTACTCAATAGTTTGGCATTTCCCAGCATCATTCTATCATTTATTCAGTTTAGAGAAACATTACAGTTTCTTAAGGATTTAAAACATGTACACATAATGTGCTGGCCTTCATATTGAAAATGAGAATGAAGCTCTGGCTGACGGCATTATATCACCAAGTGTTCTCCAAATCCATCTGGATATAACACCTGGCTGGGAAATGCTATTTTAGAGTCATAGGTATAATTTATATTTTTAAAGTCATCTTTACGAAGAGGTCAAGCAAAATGACATCAACTATAACAAGAGTGTAATTAAATAAAACATGAGTGTCTTGGGAATACATGCTCACTTTTAAATTCAACAAAGTTACATTCTCTAATTTTTTTTTTGAGAGCTCAGACTATTAGCTTCTAGCATTGGGTTGGTTAATGCATGGGAATTTCCAAGCTCTAACAGGCTCTGATATAATTTTTGGAACCTGACTGATACATCTAAGTAATGGCTTTTCTTTTTTTACAGTGATCTACTTAGGACTGCCCTATGAGAATATTAATGCTGTGTCAGACTGAACTGTGTGTGGTCACTGAGGACTGATATTTCTCATTGTTCAACATTAGAAATATAGAGGAAGGAATATTAATAGTTTATTGGTTCAAGGCTGGGAATTTCCACATAAGTTATCCAATGGGACTCTTAGTTTAATATAGATGCAATGCTGTTTTCCCACTTAGATTTTGGTCAAATCTCTATTCTTGTACCTACTAGCTGTGTGACTGTGGCATATCATTAACCTCTCTGGGCCTCAGTAATTTCATTTGTAGATTGGGATTAATTATCCATACTTTGCAAGATTGCTGAGTTAAATGAACAGGCATGGCACATCATTGTAGAGGTTTAAAAAAATATCTGTTCATTGCTTTATGCAGTCATTAGGTTTATCTTCCAATACCCAATTCTGCTAAGCTCAAAGATAACTTCACAAACCAGCTGTTCCTCTTATCAAAAGGCAGAGTGGAATAACAATAATTTACTGAACTCTTACCTGCACAACTCTCTACCTGCTTTATCTCAGTTCTCATAACAATGATATGGGTCAGGTAGGGTTATCAGCCTGTTTTTACATATGAGAAACCTGACTATTAAGTAATAAAATAATTTGCCAAATACCACAGCTATCCAATGGAGAACTGAGATTCCAACTCAGGAAATTTTAGTCACATCTCTCCTCACAGTAGGAACCGAGGCCTCTAAAGTGAAAAGTGCTTAGCGATGTCCATAGAAAACTAGCTCTGCAAGATGTTAATCAGTATAAATATGGGAGCTGTGAAAGATTGGGGCGGGGGTAACATTGCATGCTAAATATACATCAGAGATCATTGATTTTAAAAACCTAATCAGATTAATAGATTTAGACTTCTGTTGTTTGTTTGTTTGTTTGTTTGTTTGTTTTCTTCATTCTTTTTATTGCCTCCTCTGGTCCTTGATTCTTTTCATAGAGCAGCTCTTGAAGCCAGGCACCACCTCATCCTGTGCCCCCAGCCACACAGACATAAGCACACACATAGTCACTCTCACACACACAGTCATTTTGGAAAGTGCTAATCCATGTGATAATCAATTTTAAATCCTGTGTGACAATAATCTTGCTTATCAATTCTAGAAACCCTGGTATTATCACCCACCTGTTTTTCTTGTTAGTGTGCAGGACAGAGCAATTCTTATTAAGAGATGTTTGATTCTGCACACACCCGTGGTGCTGTAAAATCAGATAACTTTGAAATGAAATAAATAGGGCTCATTAAGAGCAACACAATTTGAGTCCAGCGAACCAAAATAAATATAAATCTGTCTAATCTTGTGAAATCAACATTTGCTAATGTTATAAAACAATTCCCGCAGGAAGTGGTTTACATAAGACAGTGAAGGCCCTGTTGCTTTCTATTAGCATAATCATTCAGCCTGGTGGAGCTTCATTGATGTTCTTAAAACAGTTGTAGTCAAATGAGTTCTTGGCGATTTTGCTTTTGTTCTATAATCTTAGGTAATTCCCAACAACCTTTGTTTGTTTTTTTCCAACAGTGTTTCTTATTAATATGGTATAAAAATAACTTTCTACTAAGGTTGCCCATCTATTTAATAATTGTAGAAATAAGAAAATTGCACTGAAAGAACATACTGTTTTTCCAGTTGTGACAGCCTTACAGCTGCTGTAAACCTTTTCAATTGTTTGTTAAAGATATTAAATAAGTTCTCTGGGCTCAGTTCTGAAATTATAATCAAAATATCCACCGCACCACTTTCTACCACAGGTGCTGTGCTCACTACTACACCTCGGTCCAGTCTGCACCATCTCTGGGCAGAGTGGTCTAATACCTCCTAATTGGTCTCTGCTCTAACTCTTACCTCCTGATATCAGTTATAGGAAGCTTTCATAAAAAGGAAATTAAATATCATTATTCCTCTACTCAAACCCCTCCATAATTCCTATTACATTAAATATATAAACTCCTGCCAAAACCAGTTTGGCTCAGCGGTAGAGAGTTGGTCTGTGGACTGAAAGGTCCCAGGTTCGATTCCGGTCAAGGGCATGTACATTGGTTGCAGGCACATGCCCGGTAGGGGGTGTGCAGGAGGCAGCTGGTTAATGTTTCTCTCTCATCGACGTTTTTAGCTCTTTATCTCTCTCTCTTCCTCTCTGTAAAAAAATCAATAAAATATATTAAAATATAAACTCCTTACTATGGCTTCTGAGGCCCTCAAAGATACCTGGGCATGGCCTCTCTAGGACATTCCTTAATGCTTCCTTTTACTAACAATGAATGCTGCAGCCGATCCTAAGGTCTTTTGTTCCTTGTTCAGAATAACCTTTCTCCTATCCCAAAGCTCTGATAGAAAGAGATTTTATATGAGCTTCAATTGTGTCTCCTAATCTTGATTTATTTTTATTCATAATACTTAAGTATTACCTGAGATTATGTGGTTTATTTTTCTCACTCTATTTCTTGTTGACAGAGACTTTGCCTGTAGCTTAGAATTAACATTACCTGGCACTGCAGACTGTGAGGCTGTATGGTCAGTGTTGAGCCTTTGGAGCAACATCTGCTTAGGAAACTTAAATTCTTACAAATATCTGTATTTGTATAAAATATCTCTTGATATTGAATTCTTTTTTTAATTTAAAAAATATATATTTTATTGATTTTTTTACAGAGAGGAAGGGAGATAGATAGAGAGTTAGAAACATCTATAAGAGAGAAACATCAATCAGCTGCCTCCTGCGCACCCCCTACTGAGAATGTGCTTGTAACCAAGGTACATGCCCTTGACTGGAATTGAACCTAGGACCCTTGAGTCCTCCTGCTGACACTCTATCCACTGAGCCAAACCGGTTAGGGCATTGATATTGAATTCTTACAAATATCTCTACAACATTCAGGTGTAGAGATATAAAATATGCATAATTCTAATTTTATTTTTAAATAAAATTTGTATAATTCTAATTTTATTTTTAAAAAGTTGAAGTAAATTAAGTAGCAGAAATACATTTAATTTTCATGAAAGTTACTTTAGTGTTGGTATTAATCCACTAACAGGTGAGGTCTCATGTTATTAAATTTTTTTGTTTACTTATTAAATGGGTGGATCATAAGAAAATTATACTTGGCTGAGCCATGGGAAAATTTGGGGGTGAGGGGAAATTAGTCCATGTAAAGAGAGAGAAAAGGGAAAAGAATAAAACATGGATTTAATCATCTATGTCTCTTTTCTAGCCCTAGGAAAAGATAAGGATTTCCTGGATGAATCAGAACATGCTAATTATGACCGATCTCGGCTAATTAAAGATTTTGTTCCCAAAGATGATTCTGAATCCAAGAAAAGATTGTCTAAGGTAAGGTAAATTAAACTATTAGTAAAGCCATTTGGAGATCATAACATCTAAAAACTTTCAACTTTTTTCAGTAGTAATCTATACTGTGCTGGAAAGTGTAAGAAAACACAGTCTAATGCACATTTCTAAGAACTCAAAATTGAAAAATAATGTATAGACATCATGTTTATTTTATTATCCAAAATAATTTTATAAAATAATCTGAAATATAAAATTATTCAGTAATATCTTCTTTAGGGGGTTAATCCATCTTTTTTTTTTCTCCAGGTTTTTTGAAAGGCAGCATGGGTTTAATGAATACATGAGTTTTAGTATCAAATGGACCAATATTTGAATTCCACTTCCACTACTTAATATTTGTGTTAACTTGAGCAGGTTAAGCTCATTTAGCCTTTTTTCTCTGTTTGTAAAAACAGAATTATGTCTGTTGACAAAAATCTTTGATGACTCTGTGAGATAATCATATGCACGTATCTGTAGCATAGTAAAAGCTGTCTATATTGTTGGTTTGTATGACCTCACTGAAGTTTAGATCACTAACAAATGGGTAACTGGATAGAGTTCAGTTTTAAAAGCCCTGGCTCCAGCAGTTGTACCATCCCTCAAAATCAAACTCTTCAAAGCTTCTGAGTGTGGTTGTTCAACACCCTTTTGATGTGTTCCAAGACAAATCCTGACTCATTCCAATTTTATTTTTTTCTTCTTATTTTTTATTTTTACTGATTAAAATATGAATGCTTTTGTAAATGAAATTTTCAGTTTAACACAGGGAATCATAGCTTTCATTGTCACTGCATGGCTAATAATCATATTTGTGAATACATCTTTCTCTGTGATGTTTGCTTTGGTTTGGCTTGGATTAATTTTGATAATCCCTTTTCAGTCACCACCAAAACATTAGTGAAGAAATATGGCAGAATTTAAATATTACTATTACAAAAAAGACAAACCTTAATAAATATATGCTTGCGCCAAATTCCTCCTATCTTATTTGATTTTGTTTAAAAGAGTCATTATTTTGTGCCAGTAATTTTTAGATTATTCACAAGCCAGGGGTTGCTCTCCTTGTGTTTGCTTCATCTGTCTCTGTGTCTGATTAACATAATAGGTGTTCAGAGAGTTTTTATTATCTGTAAAGCATTGTTCCGAGTAGTTTGACAGGAGGAATTATAAGAAAAATTGAGTAAAAAGACATGTTGTTTCTTAAGATACATATATCTTCAGCAGAAAGACAAACACAATGTAGTTCAAAGAATTAGAAAATGAACTAAAATTAAATGAAATCTGTAGATCTGCTTCTCTAGGATTTACAGCCATCAATGCTCCCCTCCATTTCATTTCTGCTCAACAGTAGTCATTTCCCAAATCTCACTGACTAAATTTGAACTTCAGAATATAAAATTAAGAAGAAATAGTTAAGCCTGCATGCATATTTTGGTTTTGACATTAAAATAGGAGATGGTGTGTGATAATGGTAACAGGCCACAGTTGTTCAATTCAAGAAATTATAGTCTAATATCTTACTGAAACTATCTAATTGCATAATCTGCTATTGTATTTCTAGAACTACATCTAATTAGTTTCTGAGCATTGTCACATTACATCTGTTTGAGACTTTGTTTGTCAACCACTGGGTAAACATTTCCTGAATGATTTTGAGTTAGCATGGTGAATATTTTTTTGTAATCACATACTGCTTATGATAATTTAGTAAGCTAAGTATATCAGTAAGGCATTATACCAATTAATCTTGAAAACAATGAATTGTATCTTTAGAATATTTTGCTTCATGTCATGAACTTTTAGCATGTGTTATTTATACTGAAATTCTTTAATATTTTAGACATGAAAAACATTTGTAATATTGAGATCTAATATGTGAAGTGATATTGATATAGTAATAGGACATGTTTTTTGTTTATTTGGAAGCTACTATATGTGAAACTTGGTACTATAGGACAGAGAATTATGGTATACACAGTCAGGTTTTGCTGGCCAAGTGTTTGGATGCAGTTCAGAATGCATACAAATAAGTGGAGAAAGCTAAGAATCTGGAAATTAGAGATGACACTAAATATAGGATAAATCAAGATTTAGCTAGCCCAAAACTTTATAATAGAAGCCATATTTCAATATTTCAGAGGCATTGTGATAGAAAATTGACTATAAGGACCTGAGCTAGATTTTTAAAAAAATCAAGAACATGAAGAAATGAAAACAATTTTTAAAAAATCTGAAGGAATAAGCAGCAACTAGAAAACAGCTAGAAAAAAAAACAACAGAGAAAATTCAAACTAGAAAGCAAGCTTTGGAATTGGAATTGGGTATTTGAAGATTCACAGAAAGCAAGTTGGTTTCTAGAAATCAGTGCAAATACATCTTCCATTCAGTTCATTGTTGTATATGGAATATTGAAGTCTCCACATCTAATATTCATCTATAATTTTAACCATTTATCAAGACTCAACATCTGTATGAAATTACTTAATAGTGCTTGTCAAGTTGATATTTGTACCCTGCATCTATGTTATTTCAACATATATATTTTAAAAAATACATGCATTTTCTAGTTAAGCTTGAAAGAAAGGTTGAAAGACAAATGTCATTGCTTTTAAGTGAGGTAGAGTTTTTACCATATAAATAAATAAAGACAATTTAAAAGAGTAAATTGGCCACAGTTCATTTTTTTTCTGTATCCACTCTATTTTTAATGAGATTTTGCAGCAACTCTCAAAATGTGGAAAACTGTTGAACTGGTCTTGAGTCTTGTTTTACCCAGTAGACTGCTGCGGAAGTAAAATGTGCCAGTGCTGAACTTTATACTTTAAATACCTTGCATTCCCATTCTTTTCTTGGGACTCTGCCTCCACCATGTGAATAAGTCAGAGCCAGTCTGAAGGAGGATGAGATCATATGGACCAGCACCTAGTAAGCTCAGCTGCCCAATTCAGGCAGAGATGTGAGAAAATTCATTGGCACTGGCCAGCATGACTCAGTGGTTGAGCGTTGACCTATAAACCAGGAGGTCAAAGTTTGATTCCCAGTCAGGGCACATACTCAAGTTGCAGGCTCCATCCCATGTGGGGTGTGCAGGAGGCAACTGAACAATGATCCTCTCTCCTCATTGATGTTTCTATTTCTCTTTCCCTCTCTGAAATATATATATATATAAATTCAGTGACAAAACCCAGAAAACACAGACTCATGAAAAAGCCCAGAACTACCTACCCAACTTAACCCTGTCTACCCACAGAATCATGAGCTAAATAAAAGAGGTTTTTATTGGTTTGTTTCTCAGCAATAGCAAATGGAAACAATGATAGATGTTAAAAGCTAGCACCCTTGCTGGTACAAATGATTGCTAAGAAAAAGTGAATTATTTATCAGTTACTGGGAATATTTGCAAAATTGTCCCTGAGCTTTTCACAGCATCCTCATACTATCCATTAAACCTAAATTGCATGGTATCTAGGCAATCTATCTAAAACTTTCTGAAATTATCTTTAATTTCAGAAAGTTTTTATTTTTTAAAAACTTTATTTGCAAAACTGCTTTCTTTGTGATAACATTAAATCAGGGGAAAATTCCAAGATTACTTTTAATTGAATTACCTTTGCATAGTTAGCAACAGTCACAAACACCCAATAAAAAGAGTAAACTAATTTTTAAAGGCAAGTTTATTTCTTTGAACATTTTGATACATATGTTCTGTCACAGCTGTGTGGATAAAAAAATCCAGGAAACAAATCTGTAATGTAAGAAAAGAGATAATAATTTTATAAATTCATAGACTGGAGTAGCTGGGCTGTCTGCCTGCAAGCAAAGTTCTTAAGTCTGTCAAAGAGTCATGCTCTATCTAGTGTTTCCCAAACTGTGTTATGCGTACCCCCAGGGGTACGGGAAGAGTTTGGTGAGGTTACGCGTTGCACCAGAGTTTGGTGGGGATATGCACTGCACCGTGCTTAGCTGCGCCTAATTCTACGTTCTCATGAGTACAAGGGGTACTTAGCGTTACAAAAATTAAAGAAGGGGTACACATGTGTCAAAAGTTTGGGAAACACTGCTCCAACTGAGGCCTCTGGATGTGGACAGTGAAAAAGAAATGTCTACAATTAATCTGGATTATAAAAAATGAACTTCTGAAGCAAATCGATGATTTCTGTTGTAGCCATTAATGAGAAGTTTGCTGCTGCAACTCTTGGTATGCCAAAAATAACTACAGATGTTGTCAGTAATAAGTTTGGAATATGAATCTATATTCCAAATGACAGTGATGTATCCTCTTACAGAATATTGGATACCAGATTAGACAGAAGAGAGGTTATGGACTAGGGAAATATAGGCATGAATATTTTAGCAGTTTATTAAATTTCAATCACAAGCCATTCAATTTGACTGTATCAAATTGGCTGGCTTTGGCAGATGATGTTCAACTTTAACTCAGTTGATAACAGGAATAACTCTCTGTTAAGACTGGAAACAGTGATCATTGGGTGGAGAAGATGAGAATGAGATGGCCTCTGGGGTCTTTTATAATGTGCCTTTCATGTGGGCTATTCCAAATTGGCTTTTGTAGATCAGCAATACAATTAATCATTGAAAGTTTGATAGATGTGACTATCAAGTGGGAGGCAGAGGTAAAAGTACCTATTAGTATTTAGATACTAATCAGTATCAAAATTACAGTAACATTTAAAAGTAAGATATAAATTTAACACATGGAAATAAGCTGACATACTGGAATACAGATGTATATAATGATGGTTAATATTCTTAATCTGCAAAGATATCATGATAACATAATTAATAAATGTTAGAGTAAAAAAGTGTTGATAAACAATAAATTCTAACATGTAAAATGATTAGCAACACTAATAACCGCAGGCTGACTAGCAATACCAACAATCGCAGGCTGATGCTCTGTCCACTGAGCCAAACCAGCTAGGGTGAAAATGCTCAGCATTATATACAACACATTTTTATAGTGTTTATTACTGGAT